TCTTGTGCTTATTCTGGACCGGTTCAGGGGTTGACAGACTTGACATAAACTGCCTAGAAGGCTCCTCCAGCTTTTCTAGTAAAACATCAAGATGTTCCCCGGGTAGATGAAAGACCTAATCGGTTGCTCATTATTAGTTGTCTGACAGATCATAAAGACATAGCCCACCTCACAGGGTTTAGAAAAAATACAGTTTCCTGACATGTAATCTTTGTGGCACATGCACATTTAGACACCTTTGTATGTTATGGATATAATAATGTAGAGCTTCAGCTGCATGGTACATTGCTTTTCAGAAGGTTGTAGGTCCCAATTTGACAAACATCATCCATGTGCATGTACATTGCATAATGACATCTATAGGGGCTAAAGATTGTCTGGATTCATCATAGCAGTCTGGGATTCCTTTCCTACCAATGATTGGGTTCTTCTGTTCTACTGTTGCCCCTGTGAAAGGTGAAGGAATAGGAGATGGGAACAGTGGAAGAGCTGCAGTTTGTCTAAATCATTAGTCTCTCCAGTGGGCCATTTGTCCCCTCCCTGTTGGACATGTCTGGAATACCTACCGATTGAGCCATCCAAAAGGCATCCAAAATAGATGCCTAAACTGGCTTTTCTTGATGTGGTGGAGAAGCAGGTCTACTCCAAACCCAGATGCCTGAGCTCCTCACATCTCAAAAGGTGCAATCACATCAAACCCAGTTTTTTTTTCATCTTTTTTAATGCGTCATCAAGCAGAGCAGGATGTACTGCTTACCAGTGCAGCATTAGCTTATGTGTCCTATATATGTCAACATACATGGTTGGGCATAGAATATGGTATAACTCTGGTTCCTGTTGTCTGTTTAGCTCACTGAGAGTTAGTCTTTATGTTGTATGTAATATAAAAGCTGAAAAACGGCGTCAAATCAGCTCTGTTTGGCTGGTACCACCACCTGTTCCAGGAGCTGCTCTCCAGCTTTAGAGAGGTAGATCAAACACCTTGGATGCTGTGCTACTGAGCACCAGGTCACAACCGCATCCAGCCCTAGCCCATAGACAGAAGTTATGATTTTTAGACTTCTTCAAATATTGCTTTGTAGCATTCCTCCTGCATCACCATACCTGTACTTGAGCTGCAGCTTTCATGTTATTAACAATTACGCAATCAAAGGTGTCCTTTGCATCGTTCACTGTTTAGTTGCTCCTGAACATGCCTTTAGATAGGGATGACATGATAATCACGTGATGAACACGCCTTAAGGGGTGCCCAACCAACCCATTTTATCTGCTTTTTATTTTGGTCATGACACAAATATCATTGGTGAATGTAGGAATGTGGATACCTCAGAGCTGAGGGCATGGAAGTGGTTAGGGAGCTGAGGTCTAAACCTGATTCTATAACGGGGGCTTGGCCTTTAGCTGAGCTAAGAAGCTAAGCTATAGCGCTTGGCCTTTTAGCTCAGCATATGCCGTTCTGCATTACTACACCGATCCATCTATAGATCTCCGGCTACATTCTCCACTTTTTCGTGTACAAACCATGAACTCCTCCAACTTAAGGCAGGCTTGGACTGTTTTAATGTTAAATTCTTTTCACCATTCTTCAAAAATTGCCTTTGTGAGGTCATAGATTGATGTTTGCGAAGCCCTTAGTTTCTGCTTTAATTCAACACAAAATGTTTTGCCAGGTTGAGGTCAAGAATTTGTACAGGCCAGTCAGGCTCATTTACATCAAACTCTCATCCAAGTCTTTAAAGAGCTTGCTCTATGTAATAATGCATAGACATGTTGAAAGAGGAAGGGGCAATCTCTAAACTGTTTAGGTTGAAATATTCTCATTGCCTGAACGTACGTTTACACAAAGAGATTTTTTTGTAAACGTTTTTTTTTTTTTAAGCAAGGGGAAGCTTATTCGAGAACCGGTGAGAACTTCGGTGGCACCAACGACAAAACAACAATAGCTCGTCTGCATAGATATCACAGTCACGGAGATGGATCTAGAACTGCTAGACATTGAAGAGGACCAATTAACCTTTCATTGTAGTATTCCATTGTAGTTGTTCCTCGGTTTTTAAAAATGCCGCGCCCCGGCACCGAATCGGAGGAGGACCACACAGACAGCCGGAAAGGCATACCAAGGACCAATCACAGCTGCTTTTTGTCTGCGCACTTTCGCTTGAAGTCTGCATGGTTTTGCAACTGTCTGAAGCGTAGTCAGGATTTTTTTGAGGTGCGGTTGCAGAACCTCTGCACAGGGGGCGTCTTCACGCAGAGACAGATTTGACTGTTGCAGAGGCTAAGCGTCACAAGCATAAATTGGCCTTTAGTCGCATTTTAGTCATTACTATATGTGATAGTTTTATTCAGTTTTATTCGACTAAAACTAAAGGTTTTAGTTATTTTTACGTGCCAAAAAAAAAGGTTAACCTTTACAATTTTGAATAACAACCGGATTCTTTACCACACTAACAGCTCTTGCCTAGATACTATTTCTTGGTACAGAATGCTGCCGTGTCGTTCAGCATTGCTGTTGGGCAGAAAACTGATTTATAGAACTCAAACTTTTTTACGAATTAATGCCCTACTTTATAAAGTGTCTAACAAAAGTTGTGAAAATAGCAGATCTAGTTCAACACATCATATTGGTCAATATAGCAGGCAGACAAGCTGACAAAATGCAAAATAAAGGAATGGTTTTAGAGAAACAAGGTTTCAGTTCAAAAGTAACACTTCCTGATCTATGAGTTGTGCATTACACACAGATCAATAAAATCTTCATTGCTCCATAAAAGCAAAGAACAAAAACATTTCTCTTTCTACTTTGGCAATTTTGGCTTTATTTCTTCAATTTACCCTTTTTTTTTTTTTTACCAGTGCTCAGGGGTCAAAGTAGATTTAAATTCCAACATACAGAGAGAACCTACCTAATTTCCTTGTAAAGCCATGGCAATCCAGACCTGAATGAATATGTTAACTAAAATATTTAAAGGAAATAATACAAGGAATCATCTACATAATATTTAAATAGATCCAACGAGAACAAGGAGGGGGAAATATTCAAAGATCTATGCACCTTTTTACCTCGCTCTTTATCCAAAAATAAACAGTATGCATTGAAATAATTTCTTTGGATATAATTTAGGGATTTCTTTTGGTAGAAATTAGAGAATGTTTAGTATCACTTAACAATATTGCCTCTTGTTAGCTGGAAGAAATAAAATCTTAATAGTTAGACAAAATGATTTTTTTACACTTGGCAGAGGATGATCAGCCATATAGTTTATTAAATAGCAAGAGCAGGAACGATAGGAAGATCAGGAACCATAATGCTGAGAGCGAAACATTAGTCAACAGCAGAGGTCACGGATTAGCGGACCAGGGTCTGGATCCGGACCAACCTGCTGGCTAATCAGGACCCAACCTGATTGAAAACATTTATAAGTTACCGCATGTTGTTGTTGTGCTGCTGCTACTCCTGTTTTTACGGTAAAGCCATCCAGAGCGTCCGGGACCATGCTACACATGATTCAAATTAGCCAATGATCTCAGTCTGGGTTGCTGCTGCGAGCTACTTTTAGACACAGCAGGCAAACCTGTGGCAAGCCAGGTGGTGGGAAAGAAGACAATGAGAAAAAGAGAGCAGAGAAAGTGACTAGTGGAAAAACCGTGGTGAACGGGTGACAGAAAAGTGAAATTGTGTGCTCAAAGAGGAACCTGCACATTTAAAGTTTGTTTGGCTCAACCTACTGCTGTGAGGCAGATTCTCCACCATGAACATAATCAAAAATACCGATCCAGGCTCAAAATTAGCACCTTAATATGTGCTCGAAAATGGCTTTGTTGCTAATCAAACCCAGTTTTAAAAGCATTGCAGGGCAGCCTGAAGCCCACTTCTCTCATTATGCCATAAAAAAAGAGAGAGAAAAAAGTAACTGTCAGTTCAGGTGTTTTATAAAATATGTGAATCAGGAAATTGTCTGTATAACAAACTGAATGACTGTTGTTCTCTACTTAAAAAAAACACTTTAATTTTGGAAAAAAATTCTATTTTTTATTTTAAAATTCAATGTATAACATGGATGCAGAAACACCATTTTCTTTCAGTGTTAAATTCTGTTAAAAGTAACGGATTATAATTAAAAATGTCTCCGGACCTGCATTTGTTGTTTTTCTTTATTCGGACCCCGCTGATTTTTAACTGGTTACCCCTGGTGTAGAGCATAAAGCGCAGACTCAGAGCTACGCACTTGCAAAGATGCATTTCTGCACAAGCACATCGTCGTCATCGTTGACGAAAACGGCACTGGTTATAATATTTTTTATGATCAAAGCATGAGCAAACTCAATCTTTTGATCAGCAAGCTTGTAATGTCATTAGGCACTTTGCAGGTTTGCCTTGATTGTTGTCATTATCTGATTGAATAATACAGTTTAACTAAACCGGTTCACTCTTGTGGAATGTATGACTATAATTGCAGTTTGTGTATAAAAAAATCTGTTGGAACTGTTGAAGAAAAGCTGGCAGAACTGTCACATTGTATGAATCCATTTTGTGCTTCAGATGCTCTGTATGGTGTGGAAGGAATTGTTTTATTCAGATAATCTGCCAAAGCAGATAGATTATAGGACTGTGTGATATTATTTTTTTTAAGTAAGGATAATGCCCTAACTGGTTGTACAGATTTTAAAAATATCCATTTTGCATTAACATTATTGAATACAATTTTACATTGACAGCATTTTAGGTTGGCAGATTGTTGAAACCTAAACTATGGTGTTTGCAGTTAATATGAAAGTTCTTTGGGTGACTATTTAACTTAACAACAGTCAAATCCTTGCGTATTTTACTTGAGGCTCAAATTAAATTTACCACCACCCTTTTCAGGAACTATATGAAACATTTCTAGGAATTTAAACTGTAATTTAGTCATTTATGGAAAGGCCTAAAAAAACTAAAGTTTGCTTGCTCTAGTTTGTGTTTGTACCTTTAATAGTCTTTGTATGTGTCTGATTTACAGGAATCCACTGAGCCTGACCAGAAGACCCAGGGTTGGCGTTCTGACATTTTAAAACCACAATGCTGGGGTTGCAGGGAAATGCTTCACCGTCCAAGGTGTATCGCTGTGTGGCATGTTCAGAAACCTTCACAGGATTGGCCTCTCTACTCGTACATCAGGCCACTCATGCAAATACCGACTCCAAAAGCTCTACCCACACTCTGACACAGCATAACGATGGCCTGCAGGAAACCCAGTTTGCAAAAGAGGTCTCGAACACCGAAAAGCCCAGTTCACCAACACGTCTGCCTGAGAGCCCTGCATCGTCTTTTTACATTTGTGACTGTGGGGATGAGTTTCTGGACTTCCATCTCATGCTGGAGCATAAACGTTCACACATTGGTCAGCTACAGCAGCCTGTGGTTGATAATGTTGCCATGTCTGGTGAAGCAGGAAGTAAGGATGTTTTTCCAACCCAGCAGGCATCATTCGCCCCTGTTATACAGACAGGTTTAGACCTCAGCTCCCCCTCCACTTCCAAGCCCTCAGGCTCTGAGCTATCCACATCAAATGTGCTTTCAGGAGAGGTGGCCTTGGAGGACAGTGTTGCCATGGAAACCCCTCCTCATGGCCAGTGCACACCCCCTCAAGATGTCAGTGTGAAACCAATTGAGGGCATGTGTACCACAGAAGAGCCCCTGCCTGAGAGTGAAGGCATGGATTTGGAGGACGATGGTGATTCTGTTCCAGACTCTGAACAGGTGGAAAATGTGCAAAAAAACAACAACCTCATGAAGCTGCTAGCGTCTGCTTACCAGAACTGCTTGCCAACCCCTGTGTCTGAGATTGAAAGTGAAAACAATTTAGTTCCCAAGCAAGAAGATATTCCTGTTGATATATCCCCAGTAGCCAAATCTGAACCTTCTGCGATTAATGATCTCTCTATTGTCCAGTTGCGGCGGCTGCTTACTAAACCAGGTGTAAAGACAAAAGCTCCACCCATCAGCAGAATTCTGGAGTCGAGTAGAAAGAGGGTTGTCTCTCTTACTAAGACTTTGTCTCCTGTTGTGGTTCTGGAGACGCGGCAAAAGCTAATGGATCCGACGTTCAAAGGTCTTTACGGAAGATATCAGTGTGGCCGCTGCCGTAAAGTGTTTCCAAACTTAGACAGATTGACAGAGCATCATTTCCTGCACAAAAAGGAAAGGATTAAATGCTGCCGCCGATGCAAACAGCTCATTATTGGGCGATTACCTTTTACTGACAATCATGTTTGTCCTCATTTGAGAAACAACAGTTTTCGACCAGCAAGGGCTCCTCAAAACAAGTCTCCATTTGCCCCCAAAATTGTACCATTTCATAGTCTAAACAATGCCAAAAAGGTTTACTTTTGTCCAGTATGCAAAAACAGCTATGCACGAAGGTGGAACCTTAAAACACACCGCTGTCACGGTCCAGCATCAGGCGTCCCAAGGCAGAACTATCCTCCGTTTCAAAGAATGTTTGCGCTCAGGCCAAACCTTGGTGCCAAAACCCCAAAAGTTGAAGAGGCAAATGACGGGCTTAGGAGTGTTGCTGTAGGAACTGAGGTTGCTGCTCACATCAAGGTCGAGGGGACTTCAGTTTCACATATTGGTTGGACACCTCCTGCAAAACAGTTTCCCCCATTTACTTTAAAATCCTCCATGATCGACTCGCGTCAGGATCCCTCATTGGCTTCCCTTGACGAAGTTGATGAAAGTTGGAAAATGGAAGAGCTAAAGGGGGAAAATGGCAATGAGGGACAGTGGACAATGCCCTTAGATGATGATTTTCAGCTGATCAGTTCCACTGACAAATCTGCTGACGATGGAGAGCTCAGGCAGGGTGGATCTGCTGAACATGCAGAGATGGCTCCTCATAGTCTGCCCTATTTCATCAATGATGGTGTGAGGCGTTACCCTTGTCAGCGGTGTCACAAAACCTACAGTAAGGCCACAACTTTAAGACGCCATCTGCGACTGTGTGGGTTCAGGCCAGCTGGGTTTGGGACTGTAGCTCAGACCCAAGCCAACTGTGCCACAACTCTAAACACCGGTAATGTGAAACCTATGTTTTCCTGCTTTGTCTGCGGGAGGGCCTTTAACCGCAAGGACAACATGATGACTCATAGGAAAAGATGTCAACTAAAGCGAACCATGTCTGGGGTGGGTGGGGGGATCATGCTGCAGGGCATGCAAGGTAATACACCCATCAACGGTCCAATCCAAGAGGAGGACAGCGCCAAGAACTGGGGTATCATGTCCCTACCATCTGTATTGCCGAGAAGGGTGACGTGTGAATGCGGAGTCGGATTTACATCCCCAAGGCTTCTCCTCGAGCATCTGCAAAAGCATGCACAGGAATCGTACACATGCCCAACCTGTGGAGAGACCGTTAATTCCTGGGCTGACTATGAAGTTCATCTGCAGGTTCATATGCATCCTCAGCAGGGGTTGACGAAGGGACTGCAACCACAGCGATCCCAACCTCTTTTACTCCGACTGCAGCAGCCACAGCCTTCTCAGTCAGTGCTTCCACCACAGCAGAAACTCCAACGCCCAGAACCGTCCCAACACCTACACTCTCTCTCTGTGAAAAAGGGGCAGCGGATCGTCTGCACCAGATGCGGAAATAGTTTTGCCACACGATGTTCTCTTCGGAGGCACATATCCTGGAATCGCTGCAAAGGTGTGCGGGCCACAGCTCCCCTCACAAATCCACCCAAAACCTTCCACTGTTCCCACTGTAACTCGGACTTCCCCAACAGCATCAGTCTAATGTTCCACCAGAGGAATGGCGCGTGCAAACCTGCCATCAAGCCTGTCCGCTGTCCTGTTTGTCTTCGCTGGTTTGGCACCATGGACAGCCTCCAGAAACACCTACTGATTCACAAGCAGTCTGACTCGTACCGCTGCGACGTGTGTCAGGGAATGTACAGGAGCCTCAAATCACTGAAGAACCACCGCAGGAGGATTCATCGCATCCTCATTGGACAGCCGAAGTCGACACCACTTGAACCGCTGGCCCCAGAATGCCACCCAAGTCTAACGGACTAAAGCTCCTCATTAAAATGTCTCCATTGTTCAATATTCCTTTCATGATTTTTAAATTGTTCTTTGCATTCTAAGGGACTGTGCAAATTGGGAGCTGTTAGGACTTTTAAAACTAATCTTAGCTTGCCGCTGTAATAAATGAGCTTAGTCACAGTGTACATTTTAGTCTCTTAAGTTAGTCCCGTAGATTCAGTAGTATTTTCAGTCGGTAAATAATTCCATTACTATTAAAGTCGTAGGGAAATAATATTTAAATGGTAAATCATTCTGGCTTAAACATGTATATAAATGTACTAAAATTTAGAAAATTTCTATTTAAAAAAAATCCTGTGTTAAAATCTGTGGGGGGGTTTTCTCGTTATTTTATGCAGGCCAGTTAGCTATACGTCAGTTGTACACCTAAATTCGGCCAATCGTATATCAACGGTGTAAAGTCGGGCAGAGAGAATTTGGAAACAACGGTTGGAACAGCCGCTTCCCTACGACTTTAAGTAAATGAACTTTCTTCTCATGTTTGGTGAAGTAGCTTCTTGTTGTTCTTGGTGTTGATAAACAGAAGTGTGTTCAGTGTCTTGATTGTAACTTTTTGAGTTATAACGTTTTTATTTGAGGTTATAAAAAATGTTTTCTCAAAAAACATTTTTTGTTTGTTTTGTTTGTTTTTTTGTTTTTTTTTTTGCAGGGGGGGGTTAAATACATGATATGCAGTTGTCAGTGCACTATAATAATTAATAGAAGCTTGACCCTAGAACTTCATGTTACCCCTACAGGGTTTTATCATTGTAAATGTAAATTAGCATTTGAAGTGAGAAATTTGGCTTCTCTATCAAGTTTTGTATCCTTAAATGTGTAGAGCAGTAATAAAGATGGTTCTGAAAAGATTTGTGTACTTCATTTAAATCTGAGCTACAGTCACACCTAAACTTTAATGATGAACCTAAACCCCATTTTAAGAAAATGTTTTTATTGCTCAACTTTATGAAAGGGTAGTAAACGAAGTTGTTCATGGAATAATTCCCTTACTGCCATATGTTGTATACTTTTAGAGTAAAGTATACAACAAAGCTTGGTAGATTACTATGAAGCGACATACTGCAGCTGGTGTACATTCGTTTTTTTTTTTTTTTTTATATGTATACTTTGATAAAGTGTTATTTATACATAACATAAAAATCTAAATGTTAAACATTCTTTTTAGTGAACGTACTAAACATTGCCTCTACTAAGATGTAATTAAGTATAAATACATGCAGAAAGCTATAAAATCCATAAAAAACAAAAAATGTATGCCTTAAGATTTAAAAGAATTTGATTTCATTTCCAACAGTTAAATTTGAAGTGGCATAAAGGATAATAACCGGGGAGGAGCCCCACAAACCCTCAGATCAGATGGCACAACCCATTCAGAGGACAACCATACCTGAAATTCGTATTTGGACAGTTAGAAATCCATTATGCAGTTACCTGCACCCATGTACACAGCAAATATGTTAACTGGAGGGTGACTATATAGATCATTATTTGTCATTTATTTATTAAAACTGGAAGTAATTGCAGAATTTATTTAATGAACATATTAATTATCTTTGCCAGAATGAAATATATTGATTTTGTTTAAAAACCTAATTTAATTAGTTCCGGATTTAATAAATCAATTCACATTTCTTTTGGTAAAGCCTGCAATTAATCTGTCTTGCATCCTTAAAAAAAAAGTAGTAAATATAATTTTCTAAAACACTTTGCAATTTATTTACAGCATATTGGGTGAGAAACTGGACCACTGTAAGTTCTCTCATAAGTTTATTAGATATGTTTCCAACCAAACTCGGGATACAGGCTAAACTTGCTCTCCTAATGTCCTGTAAATTAATTCCAACCCCCCGTTTAGAGTTATTTCCCCTTTTTTCATTGTTAATATTTTTTTAAGAAAGTTCTCTCATTGCTTTGTGAGAAGCCTGGCAACCAATCAGATGACAGAATTTCCCTAGTCCCGTCTCCTTGACTTTGATGAACGCTTGATGGTTTAAATAAATTCAAGGTGTGTTTCAGCCTAGGTAAATTAATTAAATCATGAAATTATTATATTCACTTCTTACAATAAAATCACTATTTACTCGATACCCATATATTTAATATTACATTTATTTATTAAATTCTGCATTTATCCCCAGTTGTATTCTTTTTTTTTTTTTTTAATAGCAATTGTATAAATTATTTTATTCTGGCACTCATCAACCTCTATATATATTGGTTTGTACAGAATGTTTTGGCCAAGCTGCAAAATGCAATACTGCTTTTCCAAGGGAGTAAAATAGTAATACTCTATTGTCCTGCAGTGAGGGCATTTAGCTGTTGCAATTAAAGACTAAAAAGCTTAATTACGATTTTATTGAATTTTATTTAAAAGATCAAAACAGCCCATTATAGGCAAAAATGTTTTTAACAGCGTGGATGTAAAAGCGGGCTATTTGGGTAATTATAGGCATACATGTGAAACCACTTCTTGACCAGATAAACAGTACATAACACACGTAGAACCAATGCTATAAATATACAGGTGCTGGTCATAAAATTAGAATATCATGAAAAAGTAGATTGATTTCAGTAATTCCATTTAAAAAGTGAAACTTGTATATTATATTCATACATTACATACAAACTCATATATTTCAGATGTTTATTTTGTTTAATTTTGATGATTACAAATGACAACAAATGAAAATCTCAAATTCATCATATCAGAAAATTAGAATATTACTGAAGACCAATAAAAACAAAGGATTTATAGAAATGTTGGCCAACTGAAAAGTATGAACATGAAAAGTATGAGCATGTACAGCACTCAGTATTTAGTTGGGCCTCCTTTGGCCTGTATTACTGCAGCAATGCGGCGTGGCATGGAGTCGATCAGTCTGTGGCACTGCTCAGGTGTTATGATAGCCCAGGTTGCTCTAATAGTGGCTTTTAGCTCTTCTGAATTGTTGGGTCTGGTGTATTGCATCTTCTTCTTCACAATACCCCATAGATTTTCTATGGGGTTAAGGTCAGGAGAGTTTGCTGGCCAATTAAGAACAGGGATACCATGGTCCTTCAACCAGGTACTGGTAGCTTTGGCACTGTGTGCAGGTGCCAAGTCCTGTTGGAAAATGAAATCTGCATCTCCAAAAAGTTGGTCAGCTGCAGGAAGCATGAAGTGCTCTAAAACTTCCTGGTATGTGGCTGCGTTGACCCTGGACCTCAGAAAACACAATGGACCAACACCAGCAGATGACATGGCACCCCAAACCATCACTGACTGTGGAAACTTTACACTGGACTTCAAGCAACGTGGATGAAGTGCCTCTCTTCTTTTCCTCCAGACTCTGGGACCTTGATTTCCAAAGGAAATGCAAAATTTACTTTCATCAGAGAACATGACTTTGGACCACTCACCAGCAGTCCAGTCCTGTTTCTCTTTAGCCCAGGCAAGACGCTTCTGACGCTGTCTGTGGTTCAAGAGTGGCTTGACACAAGGAATGCGACAGCAGAAACCCATGTCTTTCATACGTCTGTGTGTGGTGGTTCTTGAAGCACTCACTCCAGCTGCAGTCCACTCTTTGTGAATCTCCCCCACATTTTTGAATGGGTTTTGTTTCACAATCCTCTCCAGGGTGCGGTTATCTCTCTTGCTTGTACACTTTTTTCGACCACATCTTTTCCTTCCCTTCGCCTCTCTATTAATGTGCTTGGACACTGAGCTCTGTGAACAGCCAGCCTCTTTAGCGATGACCTTTTGTGTCTTGCCCTCCTTGTGCAAGGTGTCGATGGTCGTCTTTTGGACAACTGTCAAGTCAGCAGTCTTCCCCATGATTGTGTAGCCTATAGAACTAGACTGAAAGACCATTTAAAGGCTTTTGCAGGTGGTTTGAGTTAATTAGCTGATTAGAGTGTGGCACCAGGGGCCATCAATTTTGAACCTTTTCACAATATTCTAATTTTCTGATATGATGAATTTGAGATTTTCATTTGTTGTCATTTGTAATCATCAAAATTATACAAAATAAACATCTGAAATATATGAGTTTGTATGTAATGTATGAATATAATATACAAGTTTCACTTTTTAAATGGAATTACTGAAATCAATCTACTTTTTCATGATATTCTGATTTTATGACCAGCACCTGTAATATAAACAACTGTTTCTTGGCCTAATTTCATGCGTTATTTGTTCAAAAGATTTTTAATTTAAAGTAGTAAGGAGCTCTATTCAAGATTTTTGAATTACATCCAGATATATCTGTTTAACTATTGGTGTAACTATTGTGTTTTTCAGTGGATTTATTACCGCTTAATTTCCACATGATCATGTAAATATGTTTTAAAGGGCCAAATTTAAGGAGCTGTCAAAGCTGTCAATGTGATTAATGAGGACGTTTTCCAACAGGCAGGGGGCTAAGATAAGGATAGATATTAATGTTAGTTTTAGTATAACAGAAATAAAGGTTATAATTAAACAAAAAACAAAAGAGAGGTGGCAAAAATTATGGGAAGAAGAAAAGAAAGGAAGGTGGTTCTATAAAATCCAAAAGAGAAGTGGACAAATGGGAAGAACTGAAAGGAGCAGGAGAGAAGAGATAATTATTTCACAACTTTTTAATAGGGAATCATCAGACAGGGAAATGTGACTGTGGGGAAGATGAGAGAGTGGAACATGTTATTCTGAGCTGTAGGAAGTATTTGATTCAGAGAACTTAATTAGGAAATTTAGTAATATGAAAATGAAATTTGGCATTGTTTATTTACTGCAAAAGGAAACAGGAAGCAGAGGATATCAGGTTATATTTGAGATTTTGAAACAGATCAAATTGTATAATAAGATATACTTTTTGCCATGTGGTCAACCCTCCTCACCTGTTGGTGGCGGTAATTCTCACCTGACGTTTTTGCCATCCGCCACAAAAAATTTCAAGAAGGAGAACAGACAGGGGGCGCTACAACCAACAACACCCGCCGGATTCGTGTCGTAGAAGAAAAAACGTTTTTTTTTCCTCCTCCCTTGTTATCCGGGATTGAGGGCTAACCAAACTGCTACCTGTTCGTGTCCAACGCCGGCAAGTGGAGCAAGTTTTTACTGTGCCCTCAACCAACAGCGCCCGATCTTTTTTTTTTACTCTTTCTCCGCCCAAAGATATGACATATCTCTAATTCACTTTAAGCTGAAGGTAAGTTAGCCTCCCTAATGTGTCTGATGCTAACGTTAGCATAGCAGGCTAATAGCAAAGCAAGCCCGCGTTTAACAAAGTAAGGCGGTAGATCAGTAAAACATGTTAAATATTACCATATTTTTTAAGTTTAGGACACTTCTGAACGTTTATAGTGGTTTACATTCTTTATAAACGTGTTCTGTTAGTACTCTGTAATTATTTGAACTAATAGTTAATTTTTTGATGTTCATGGGTTATATAACATTTTAGATGACTTAAAATGTTATATTCGGCCAAATTAAGATTTTGAATATGCACGTGAACATTTCTGTGAAATATCTCTTTTTAAATATTTGTTTTAAACCACAAAGAAAGGGAGGATTTTCCAGTTTTCCAAGGAAAGGTGATTTTGATCTTTTTCAAGAATTACTGTAAACATCAAACTTTGAATTTTTAAAAAAT